TTTTTTAACACTATAGACAATAAACAGTGATCGAATTTTAACGACTAACAGGCAAATTTATTAAAAGGAAACTTGTTCTCGTTTAGAATCTTGCAAATCTAAGGCAGTCTATTTTTTAAGGCAATTGTAAGATGTCTCGGTATGAAGATCGGAAACCAAATGGAGATTATTGTCATCCAAAAACAGGCGAGCTCTCTTTATTCACCGATCGCTGACGGACAATACCGTGGCAAGTCATTAGGTCGTGACGCGTGGAAGGCGCTGATCGGCCCGTTTCAATACTGTCGGTTACAGTCTTTACTCTAAAGCAAGAATCGGCATAATTTCCGACCAAAGAAAGCATTGCAACAGCTGTGATTCTAGAATCGACTTTGGTACAGGAGGGAAGCCTGAAAACTTCAAGACATATAGGAACAAAGCCAGATAATGGAGAACAACACCTCAAAGTCATGGGGTACATTTTGGTGCAGTGACATGGAAATCAATGCAATTTTACAAAAATAAAACTGAAGCCAGTCGAATGTGACTCGTAGATATGTAGATGTATCAAACTGGGCAAAAAGAAATTGGACACCAAATCTGTAGTATTCAAATTCCATCTGCTTTTATACTCCCAAATCGAATTTACAAAATTTGTTTCCCGATCTAAAGTAACAATTTTTTCGTTTTTAGTCCTTAAGAAGAGGGGTGGAGGGTTGAAAGAACAGAAGCCCTGAACCCAGTTGGGGGTAGTGAGTCGTGCCCACTCTTCTCTGCTCAGATTCATCTGATCGATGAATTACATACAAGTGGTTAGCTGTCTTGTATCCTTTGGGAAGAATAAAAAAAGTAGAGATTCTGCCATAAAAAAATAAAAACGAACAAACAAACACAAAAAGAGGAGAAAGTGGAGCCTCGCAGGTAATTAAATGAATGGCGTCTCTTTCCCACCGTTAGATTCATTAGATTAATAAATTACGAATAAGCGGTTCACTGTATGGCACCGTTTGGTAAAAATGGAGGTAAGTGAGGTACTGCCGCGAAAAGTTGCCATGCTCGATTTTAGTGAAATACAGACCAGTAGCTTCAAGGAAAATGCAAACGTAATCCTTCTGTAATTTTCACTTCATAATATTTGTAAGGTTTAGAAACTTGTTTAAGTTGCCAGAAGAGGCTTTCTCCTTCCTCTCCCTCTTCGCCCATTCACACATCCTTGTAAGATAGCCTTTTCCCAAGTCCCAATGTAAAATGCTGTAAGGTTTTTCACTTTTTGCTTCCTCAAAAATTTCTCGAGTCATATTCATGTCCTTCATGTTTTCAGTAAGTAAGTACTTAAGAGTAGATAATAAAATTATAGTATCATTAAAACAATAATAGCAATAACAACTTTCTCACAATAAAATAACAACGATGAAAACTTAGAAGTAAACGAATTTGACCAAAATAATCCCTCTGATAAAACTGGTTAATGAATCACGATAGAATTGGAAAATCGCATACACCAACCCGCTTACCGACCTCGTATCTACATAACAGATATAAGATGTTACATTAACCAATTGCGACCACTCTTTTTATATCTGAAGGTTCTAATATTTCTTAAGAACAGGCTGCAGGTTTGCTAATGTTGGTCTGTGTACAGTTTCCTGTTGAAAAAAAATCATAAGGACTTACTCTATTCAGTATTTATAAACACATGTTCTAGGCAGTTAAACGTTTAATCATAACCAGTACAATTTCCTAAAATGCGATTGGTGCATTAGCTGCGTTATTTTTCACTTATCACTCTGTAAAGCTGTAATCGGACAGTATAATCGGCCAGTTGGCTGTAATCGAACACGTGTAATCGGACAGTTGAAGTAGTCAATCACACTAAGTCCACTCAGCCAAATCCACCAATCACACAATTAATCACAATTACCATAGCAACAAGCACTTATCCTGAAAAAATTGTAGATTTTCCAAAGTTGAGGAATTTTTCACTTAGGCATTTCCTCTACTGGACCTATTTGTCCTAAATGCATTTGCTGTTTTCGGATATTGTAACAGTTAAGATTGATTGGTAACAGGACTTTGTGTCGTCCAATTCTGTATGTAATCAAACTCGTGATTAACAAATCAGACTCCCGCTTCGCGGTCGTTCAATTTTGTTAATCACTCTTATGATTATAGACATAATTGGACTCCACTCGGTCCTAATACCAATACCAATTCTGGTTGCAAACTTCACTGAAGTTGATTCTCGATTCCCTTTGTCTCTTGGTCTCAGCCATAGATAATTTGGCTTAGGAGTTGTATAAAATTGTGAATCAACTACGTACGACAAGTTCCGCTTGACAATGACATTTGTCTGCACAACTCCCATCTAAAAAAAAAGTTATAAGATAAAATTGTTGGTGGTGTTCTTTTACTTACCTTGGGGTTCATTTTCTTTCCTACAAACTTGAAGTCAACCAGTGGTATAACAGATGGCCTATGTAAAAGCCAAACAAACAAACAGACAAACAAACGGTCACCGATGGTGCAATCACTATCATCATGAACATTACTGTCATGATCAATATCATCGTCATTATTAAATAGTTAAATGAGTGAAGTATAGCAAATCCTAGTAATACATTGCATATACCATTAAAAGGACTGACAAATACATTAAGTGGAAAACCCTACTTTGAATAAAACAACATTTCTTAACCCACACTTCACAAATATGATTTTCATATAACCACAGTCATTTAAACCCTACTTTATTAAGCCGAAGTAGAACATTAAGTCGAGTACCCTGCACTTAATGGCTGAACGGGAAGGCCGAATGGGCAAATATTTTGCGAGAGGTCTTAAGGTCTGTACCGATGAACGACAACGAAATATTTTCCCTTCTTACCCAAATTAACTCAGTCAATAATAATTTTGTCATGAGACTACCATTTTTTTCCTCTCTCAGCCTGCATCTTCAAGAGCCGTAGGGTTTTCCTTCTCCGTTTGTGCCACAATTTAAAGCCATCGGAAAAGGATTTTAAATGAGTTTTCATAAAATGCACACGCATATGCAAGGCTGTGAGGGTCATAGGATGGATAAGTTCGAGACCCATGCCAGTTTCACTCATATTCAAGGACTCCTGAAAAAAATTATGGCCGCTGGTCCAGACTGTTTTTAACCTAGTGCTTATATGTTAGCCAATAATAAAGCATACCGGTATATACAGAAAAATGACAGGCTCAGGTGGTTGCATCACTTACCTGCCGTGTGCACATTGAAAAGGTAACTGACACTTAGACAGACTATGGATTAGTTCCTGACACTCAGCTGTGCCAAGAGGCTCCCCAAACTTAACAGCACCTGCAAAATAAAGAAATGCCTTCAAAATGGTTGAAATTCATGTAAAATGAGATCACATCATAAAGAAACAGGAAATAGATCAGTTCATTTTCTGCTTACTTAAGATCTACATGCATTCTTCAGTAAACATAATATTTATTTTGTTTATCTCTACCTTCAGCTAGAATGAGTGAAGACTTGTTCTCCAAGTGGAGGAATTGTTGGACAACTATTTAGCACACAACTATAACTATGATTACATGTGAATTCCATGAAATAATTTCAAACATAGTTTGTGGGAAATATATGAGTCGTTTCAGGTACCTCTCAGTGCTACTAATCAAAAGCTGCAACTTCTAATTGACAACAGAAGCATCAGAGAAATCCTTCTCTTTATCATAACATGTCAGCGTTTTTAGCAAGAAAAAGTTCGTGTATGTAAAAACCTCTGCGCTTAAGCTATCTGTTCATACCATGGCAAGCCTGGGAGCTGATCACATCAGAAATAGCCTTGGGAATGACAGGAGGTACTCCGCGTGTCCTTGAAAATTGCTGTTGACAATATCAAAAGATCCTGTTATAATTATAAGAAATCAAATGCTTTCAGACTGCACCACCCTAATGACTGCCTTAAAGAAGTAGTTGGCCACATAAAGTGTCAATAACTGTTTACTCAAAATTTACAAAGACCACAAAAGTCAGTTAACATACCAGTCCTCTTGCTTTAAGACATTCATATTCATTTCAACAACAGCGATGCATTCTATTGGCTATAAGGACTGAAGGTTGACTTGCTCGAACATTAAACACTGAACGATCCAAACTTGGATTTTTCTGTTTTTTTAGGCTTCGGTTTTAATACAAAAATTTTTAAGCACTTCCGATTTACTCGACCGTGAACGTATGAAAGTTATATATGAGAACTGCGATTTAAGAAATGAATATGAAAGCGATCTTCGCAGTAATGAACACAACTTAAGCAGTACTGATAATAAGACCTGAAAAAAATTTCAACCCTGTACGGGATTTGAACCCATGAAGAAATGAATATATTTCCAAAACTAAAAGCTAAAATACTAGCAATTGAAAAAAATACGAGCAGACATTCTGCTCATTGCTCGCATTTTTCTGCCTTCCTACGGGGCCTGGAAAAGACTAAGCCACTCGTGAAATATCCGCCCGTATTATGTGTTGAACAAAGCGACTAAGTTGCACCTATTTATGAACGACTGTTTTATATGTTCAATTTTGCAATGATATATGTAAATATTTTTAGCCTTATCAAAAAGTGCAACTTACTTCAAGATGTTCTCTGATCAGCCCCTAATCAGGAAATATAATGCCCATTAAAACACAGGTATTCTTTACATGTGACAGATTACAGACTGAGACTTGTAAAGTCAACACAGAAGTAACTCAGTATTCTACGCTACAGCCATTTTGGTATCCATAGCCGCGAGCAAAAATTTACGTATTGAATCCACAGTGAAAGTCTCCCTTCTGAGGAAACCTGTACTCAGTGATCTGTAGCAAGCTGTAACGTTTAAGGGAGCTAAAATTTGTACAAAGTATCTTGTAATATTGCTCAAATTGTCCCTTTCCGTGTTTTTTCCTTACGATTTAAGCGTTATTTTGTTTTAATAGGGTGAACGTTTTTTTCATCAAAACTTGCCCTGGGGTGTCTGAGTTTAGAGCCCTGTGACTAGATCACTCCAACATTTCTGGTTACACATGTATTAATACTGTTAAGAGAAATTATTTGTTTGTCAATACTATGAGTGCAAGATTTAAGTTAAGTGATGTCCAGAATGGCCTGGTTATGTTAAATTTATTTAAAACACAACAATTCAAAAAAAGAAAAGGCAAGTATCTGCTTAAAGGGAATTTCATTTACAAGTATTTCCAATTGTAACAAGAACAACTTTTGCCAAACTTGAGTTTACTCCCATTTAAAATAATTGATAATACCTTCACGTTATCGACAGCAACTGAAGGTCTTCCACGCTTGACTTCAGAAAACTCTCGTTCGACAAAAACAGACGGTACGCTATCCACAAGGACTGATACGTCCTCAGAGGATTCTGATGATTGGCTTATCAGAAAACGTATCCCAATACGTTCTATTTCAGCTTGAGAAGCTTTCAAGAGCCAAATTTCCTCTTGAGAAAAACATAGTTTCAGAGGAGGTGAGACTGTTGAGGACTTGATCCTGGGTTTTCCTCCAGTTTTTGTGTCACTGCCATCTCCAAAGAGTTCTATGATCAAAAGACAATTATCATTGCATTAAGTATCAAGTAAAGCAACGATCCTCACAGGGGAGCTGAAATTTTTCAGGGTTCGACTGGATTCGAACCCATGTCTCCCGGATACTTATTGGGCTCAACAAACAACTGGGCTAAGAAGCCACAAGATGGGAACAAGGCGCAGTGTTAAAGAGTTCTTCTTTCCGTGGAGGAATCTGATCACAATTTCTAACAATTCAATCTTATAATCATGTGTCTATGTTCCTTATTTATAACACCACTGATGACCAATCATATTACACTCACAACTTAAAGGTAACCTATCATTATGTTGTCGTGAGAAATTTTTCGCAGTGCACAACCGTACCTGATTGAAGACGTTCTAATCGAACTCGCTCATGCGCAGCATGTTGATCTACCAGGACGAGTAAGCCATCAGCTCCCTCTAATTTTCGAAGACCAGAAAAATTCAACAAGTATCAGTTAGAAGGAGTAAAAGGGCTTCCACTTACTTACATGCACATCAAAATTTCCTCTTATCGAACCTTCCCTGCTTTTGCTTCTTTCCACCCAAACAGTGCTGTGCTTTCTTGAGGTCAATTAACATGTCATAATCTGTGATTCTGATCCGTTTCCTTCACAATTGCACATTTTTTAAACAATTAAAAACAAATCAAAAAGAACATTTAACTTGATAACCTTTTCTTCTTGAAATAATACTCTTTAATTGTATAGCTGGGTTAACCCTCAAAAGCGAAAGTTCACAATAAAGCAAATTGCAGTTGTTGCTGTTGTCGATGTAATACAACAAACTTAAATCATCATAATTATTATCTATGATCGTGTGGTCCGATCAACCACCTGGAGTAGTCCACAAAAGACAGATATGACTAAGACTAATGTTTTGGCAACCCGAGTGGAAGTCACCATCTGATTGATCAGTATTGTCTTGATTTTCTCCCTTGTTAAACTCGAGAAGACTACCCAATGATCTCAATGATTTCACCATCAATTCTCTTCCTCCGTATATTTCTTATAATATTTTGGCTTTGAGTATTAAGTGCTAAACCAAACCATGCCCTCAAGTTGAATTTTCTCAATCTATCCTATCACGACCGACTTACGCCACTTTAGTCTTATCGCCAGTAACATCGCAGCTAACTGACCAATCGGTATACACGAACAGGACTTAGTACACCCGACTGACAACAACTCTTCACTTGACTTAGATGATGATTCCACTCAGGTTGTAGAAACATCAGTCACCACTACTGACAACAGTCCAACGCAGGACTGCACCCATGCAGACGATCAGACTACACGATTCCTTGTCGAGTTAATTTGACACAGACAATAATTACTGAATGGTCATGAACTTTGCCAAATCAATGACTGCTTTTGATAAGCCAAGCTTCTCTCACCTTCATGTGATACAACTCCCACGATAAATTTCTCATCCAGTTGTCGCAACACCCTCATGCTGGTCAACATCTCTTTTGTGAAACGGTACGGATGAGCCACATTATGCACTGAGATCTGCGATTTATCCAAGCCTGGTTTGTTGACCGTAAGTATATCCTAAAAAAAAACACACACACCTCCACTTGTGAGAATCCGCAAAAAAGGGTTAGTGAGACTTTGCTGACCTCAGACAGCTCTCTCAAGAAAGAAACATAACTGGTTTAGTAGACCTTAAATTTTAGAACATGTTTCCCAAAAATTCCTAGTCTCATGCAAAGCTGCTTTAGTAAGGAATGCCAATTCCCTTTCCATACAATTTATGGTGCTGGCAAGAGTGCAGCTCTTCTTTCCATTGCTTTACCTGTGGCTAATCAAGAATTATTTCAGTGTAGTACATCATACTGAGGAACATTTCGAAAATATTTTGGCCTTTCCCAGAATAAAATCATAAAGAAGCTTTGTGCTTGATTGTTGTTTTATGACAATAAGGCTATCACAACGATTAAGGTATGGCATCAAAACACGTGTGTAGTTGTGAATCCAACGTGGCATTAGTCTTTGGCCATAAAACTGCAAAATAAAACTTGGCCGATATCCAGCCATGTTGACCAAACAAAGCTGGTCAATAACGCATATGTATTGTCAGTGCGCCACTAGTGCCTATGCAAGTGTAATTAAAATTCCATTTCCTGACCTTTTCTGGAGCAGCAAATACAGGATTTTTCCAATTGTCAAGCAGCTGTGTCACAGTTTTTCCTCCATTGTTAAGTAGGTCTTGTTCATAAGCTTGCAGGGCACCTGCATCAGTCCACTTACAAAGCTTCTCTTCTGCTTCTTGTTCTTCCAAGTGTTTCTTGTATAAAAAGGCCAAGTGAGAATCACCCATTCCTAAAATGTACATAAACATGCAAAGTTGTTTCTCTAAAGAGCAACTGAAGTTTGAAAGGAACTGCCACACACATATTGCCCAGATATAAATGTTTTGAACTAGAACTCTTAGCAATGAAGTTCTGTTCTCTCTTCTGGTTGCCAAACATCTACTTGCAAACTAGTTGAGAGAATTTGCTGATACATGTACACACACTGCAAGACAACAAATGTTGTACAGGCCTGATTTTTTTTTGTGCCTTATTTTCACTACTGCTTATAAGTAGTAGTGTTTCTTACAGCAAAGATCCATTCCATATTCATTTCTTAGTCCCAGTTGACATATATGATTTTCATATATTCACAGTCGTTTATTCATTGCGTCACTGGTTTATTACAAATCAACACAATGACCAGCTCCCAGTTGGCTTGTTAGCTTAGTTGGTAGGGGACTGCAGGGTGATTACAGAGGTCATGAGTTCAAATCCCATACAGGCACGAATTTTTTTCAGGTCTTATTTTCAAGACTGCTTATTATTAGTAGTGTTTATTACTGCCAATATTGCTATTGTACTCATTTCTTAAACCACAGTTCACATATATGATTTTCATATATTCACAGTCAAACCCCTGAATGAAAGTGTTTCTCCTCTAATGTCACCTGTTTGCAAGATAGGACATTCAGGTAAATTTTAAGGAGAAGTCAATAGTTCAATTTCCTCTTGTAGTCCAGAAAACGGGTAGCAATGCATATACCTCAAAATAAGAGTAGAAAAAAAATTGCAAATCTAACTTTTTAAAATCCATTTATAAAATACTATTTCATCGACAGAGCCAAGATCAACATTACCCTCAGTACCTGTGGCAGGTTCCTGTTTCCTATCCTCCCGTGGAAGCCAAGGGGTACACAAAGAGGACAAGTGAGAGGCACAAGGGTGTGGCACACGCTGTCTACGGTCCTCTTCTTTCCCACAAAGTTCAGTTTCACTTAACACTGAACAGTCATCATCTTTAATACTGAATTCATTTGGTGCTTCAAAGGAAGAGTGTCCAGTTCGACTGTTGATGAACAATTTTCTTCCCAAAGATGCATCAAATGTACAAAACCAATCCTTGTTTGAAGAACCTAACATTCCTGTGTGGATTTCAATTGTATCAGGATTCATGTTAGATTCTGATGTCAATGACTGGTGACTAGATTTGCCTTTCATTGGAAGCAATTCAGTCTTTCCAGGATTCCCTCTTTGATGGCTGTTGGTGTCTTTTGGAGATTTTTCTATGTATCTGCCTTTATCAACTTGCTCAGAATACAATTCATTTTCAAAACAACCAGGTACTGCAGAGGTATCTTTCCTAGTAGGAAATTTTGATACACAAATCTGATCTGTGGTTTTATCTGAATAATGTTTTCTGAGATATGAAGAATCACCTGAGCCATAGGTCTCTTCAGCAACCACAGCCACACCAGCCTTGTTTCCTGCACTGTGTACTTCAATGTCGCACATAGCATTATGATCCAAACTGTCATTTGCAATTGTTTCTTTGACAAAATAATTGCTAGAATATGCTGATGACTTGGTATTGCAATTGTCATTAACAGGAGCACCACCTGCATCACAGACACTTCTCTTGACATTCATTGATTTTCTCCTGTCTAGAACAAATCTGCTGTTACAGTTTCCTATCAGGGTGATTACCTTCCTATTCTTTGATGGCGATGCTAACTCATCCACTGATGCTTCTTTGGTTTCTTGCAATCTCTTCCTGGTACACTGCCTATTCAGAAAAATAGGAC